CCTTACTGTCCTTTGGCTCTGACTAACACCTCTTTAATGGTGCAGGGAAAAACCCCAGCATCTCTAATGGCATCATCTTACAATACATATCTCCCACTACGTATTTCAACTATGATGCAGCTCTAAGTTGCAATTAATATTTTATATCTAATCTCAATGTGGCTATCAGTCAGTTGTGGCATAATTAATAAAGTGTTCCAGGAAGACTGCAAATATTGTAGGCATGTATATATGGGCTTTGGGGTACATTAGGACTTCAGAAAGAGTGCACAGGGATGGAGTGGGGTCATTGTGAGGTCAGGACAGAGGAGATAGAGTCTCATTTCGCTGCTATGAGCACAACTGCCGCTCTGCTAAGGCTCTGCTTTATGGGTTGTGGGAACTGTAGCGGGTTTATATAATTTTATGAGCTCTAATGCCAACTGTGTTGACAGCTAGATAATCCAAAAAAATCTATAAATGCAACGCTGACCAACTGCCTGTCACAGATAACCAGGAAGTGGTTGGAGAAACATGTCACTGACTCACTTACAGATTGAGTGTCCAGCCGGCTGACTGACTAGCTAATTAAAGTAATGTCTTACAAACCAACCGGTGCACTGACTACACAGACACACACAAAGCCGCTGTCTTTTGACAGAGGAAGGGCTGTCATGCAGGCAGATGGGTGAGACATCTAAGAATAGATAAAAGGAGGGACAGCATTCTGGGAACACACACACACACTCACACACACACACAGACAAAGTGTGACGAATGTCTGGCAGATAAGTTACACGTGCCTCATGCTGCCATAAACACACAATACCACAGCTCCTCACATACACTCACACACACGCTGGCTTTGATGTTCAACAGCATAATTTCTCAGCTCTTTCATATTGCCACATATGGTAATTCACTTCTTGGCATTGGCCACTTCAAAGCTATGTAAACCACCTTCTTACAAACCATCTCCCCTGACCGGCTAATTCCATTTCCTGCACATCATGGCTGATTCCACGAAGCAGAAAATTCACAGATTAATCATAGCCTCATCCAATAAGGTCAAAGGTCCGAACAACCCAAGACACGCCACGTTAACCGCCGTGCCAATCCGCCTTTGTCGTGTTGATAGAACAAGGCAGATTTATTTGGCGTAATTAAATATACCAGACTGTATTCTTCCAGTCCAAACATACGACCGACATACTGCGGTGGATTAGAAATACAATAAAGAAACAAACTGTTCTAACTTCAGATGTGACAAAAGAACATCATGCTAGGGAATAAGTGAAATTCCAGCAAAGAGTACCATATACACAGTATAAGTTGTTCATTAACTAAAAAAAAGAAAAAGAAAAAGAAAAAAAATGGCAGGTTTTCTAACCATCTGGCATTTCATTTCCACATTCTTCTTCTCTGAAATACTCGGTGCACAGTAGCAAACAGTGGCTGAGTAACATGAGCCAAATTCTCTGCTTTGCAAACAAAAATAATCCAACTAGGGATTCCAGTGAGGCCATTTACAGTTTATGAGCACTGAATACAGCTACTGGAAGCAGCTATAAAGGGACAGGGTGGACAAGGTCATTATTTGGTTCATCTTTTGTCATTCCACTTTCCTCCCAGAACTTTTACTCTCAATTCCGGTGTAATATTCCAATATACTCGGTATATATTAATCTCTATACAGAGAAATCTGCATTTCTATATATGTAGAATATCTAGGCCAGAGTTTGGGTAAATCTTCTGGTTTCTAGTTGCATTACTCAATCAAGTTTGAGCCAAGTGTCTGATAATCATCATAAAAGAGCAATCACACTTGCCAAAATTTCATCTCACACCAACAACTATCTGTTGATGAATGACAGGTTTTAAGGGTATCGGCATTTATAAAACACAAGATAACCTTACAAGTACTCGTCAGTTGTTCCTGTTGTATAAACTAACTGTATTAGTATATTAACCAGATGAAAACAGGGTAACTAATGCCTAACAACCTAATAAAAACACAGTTAAATTGTTCCCATTTCTTTTTACGTAAAAAAATGTTGCATTTTTAAATTAAACAATCGCCAGCTCCTTGGACTACACCACCTTATTTTGGTGTAGTATGGCAGACCACAGGTCGTTACTTAATGAGAGTAGGAACTCCTTATTTTTGGCAAAAATTATGATCAGAATTACTCACAGGCTATGGAAAATTGTGTATTTACTAAACTAAACTGTCTCACATTTAAATTGTTGGGATCTTATCACCTTTGCCAAGACAACAGCCAGCTGCTGTGCATCACTTAAAGCAGGCCAGTTCAATGGGTCCTGAGAGATCTGGAGACAAAAAGCAGCAAGTAGTGGTTCTTCCACAGGTTCTTCTATGGAAACTGCTGGGTTTTACCTATCGAAGTCATCTCAGCTAGAGCTGAACCTAACAGCGAGCAAGTTGGTCAATTACACGGACCTAGAGACGAGTCAGAAACTGCTGGTCCCTAGGGGAAACGTTTATTCTCTGACCAGTTGTTGCTAGGTTAAACTGGTCCAAAAAAAATGGTGATAACATCAAAAACCTCCCTGAGCTTTCTTTAGTCGCAATCAGATTATCACATTCACCTTTAGTTTCCACAGAAGACACCACTGCATCTGTAAACCCTCACTAACTGCAGTAGTGAAACCAAAAAAAATCGGCGACGAAAAAGGGAAACCTTCAAAGTAAAAGTTAATCACTGCTATCTAGGAGCAACCAAAGCAAACGTAAGAAGGTTTTGGGTGCACCACTTTCACCCAGCGAGAGCAAGCAACCTCCCGCAAACACTCCCCAACCAATCTTTCCCTCGCAACCATTGGTTACCATGGGGTAATTGTTTTCATAATCACTGGAAGCCAAAAGTGTGACTTAAAATAGTTCCGATCAAGCTCTGAACTGTTTTACAGAACAATAAATCTCAAATACTGACTCTTCCTCACAGGCACAAAATGTCTGGAGAAACACCATTTTTAAAAAAAGTACTACTTATGAACATTTGACTCGCTATATTTGACTCAGTTAAGTGCAATAAAATGGATCCATGTCGAGCAAATAATCAAACACCACCACTTCCTTGACTATCACATAATAATAACACAACTTCTGCCAACTAAGACTTCTGCTGGCTGAACACGATTCTTCACATGACGTCATCCTTTCCTCCAGAGTCCATAAAGCAGACGAGGGTTTGATATGTTCAGTGTACCAAACCCATCAATGCTCCGGTTTACTGCTGCATTTTCTACTGAGGCAACACTTTTATCACAACAAACTACTCCTGCAGTCATAAAATTGGAAAAAGGCAAGCCAGCTGCGGCACTCCCCAGGAAACACAATCTCCTGGAAACCTCACTTAACCAAAGATGGTTTCCCCTCGGAACAGAGACTCCGTAAATGATGACACAATAAACACAAAGGAGTTGTGAGTCTCTGTTGTCTTTGCCTTACACTGTTTAAAAAGATCATGCACACTCCAAACAACAACAACAACAAAATGGGTAATTATCATCTGTCGAATGGATTGTAATAGGATTATTATAATGTACCAGCACTTTTTAAAATGAGATGAATTGCATTCCTCAAAAAAAAAAAAGGAATGGTTTATTCAACTGTAATGTGTTTACATGGGGAATATTTAATCTGACTGGGTCATTAATTACTGGGGCAATAAAAGGCTTACAGTAATTATTCTGCACCCCCACCCCACCCCCACCCTCCACCCAGGTTTAAAAAGAAATAATTTATCAAATGCAGCCATAATTTTTAATTTACAGTTTTTATTCTTTGTGTTGACGAAGACCAAATGTGATTTACAACTTTAAAATGAATGAATTTCAATAGGAGGGGATGTCTCACCATGGAAACCAAGAAAAAGAAGTGGCAATCGGTGTGTTTTCACCCAAAAACATGATATTTTTCTAATCAGAGTAGATTTTATTCCCTTAACTGATCAAAGTAGGTTTTATTGACCAAGCTGTTTTGTGACCTTCAATCTAACCAAGTAGTTTTTAATCCCTAAACAGAGTCATTTTTACTTGATGGTTAAAATCTACGAGTCAAAGTGAGGTCGACAGTGCAAGTTGCAAAATGACTCACTCAACCTCTCCTGCAAACCCTCCCACATTCAAAATGTGAACGCCATCGACATCTGAAAGTGAAAAATATTAATTTCATGACACAAATCAGTACATACGAGCACAGAGTCACCAGATTAGAGGTCGTGACCCTTTCTTATCAATTTTCCCAAGCAAAGATTTAATAGTGCTGATGGTAAAAATTATACTTCACTTTATCACACTGCCCCAAATCAGACACAAACAAGTTAGTCGAACACAAACAAGCTGAAATGATTGATTTGACCCCCAACTACAGATCATTTCCAGCAGACACATAAACACAAAGCCTAGACAGAAAGACAGACAGATAGACTGTGTGAACGTGTGGACTTGGGATCTGGCCAGTTTTCACTATCAACTGCAGCTGCCAGTCACACTGGGGTGTCAGGATGCTGCTGGCATTCACGCACGCACGCACACACGCACGCAAACACACACCACAAATCAATACAGCTTCACTCCCTCCCCCTCCTCCACACTGTTCCAGCACCACAGGGACATGCACACATTGTTGTGTATGTAAAATTGTTTTTATCCCTCACTGATGGGGCTAAAATGCCCTGGCTTTTGTGCGCATATCAGTGCTGGGGCTGTCAACAGCAGCATGGTGAGCACAGCCTGGGACAAGGCAGGGTTATCATAACTATGACATGTGAGAATTTAGCTTTTCAGCTATGAGCTGAAGTATGCACCACTCAGTGTGTGTTTATGTTTACAAGATTTAGCTAGCATGGGTGTAATTCTTGCAGCAGCTTTAGCCTTTAACGTGTAACTTAAGCACGAGGAGAGTGAAGTATAGGCGCAAAGACATAATAAATGCACAAACATATCCTTCTCGAACCAGTATCCTTCCCCAGCATCCTCCCAGCTATCCCACTCACCGATACGACGTCTGTTTTCTGAACGCCAGTCCCCTTAATTTCTCCTCCAGAGTCTCTTGCTCCATGTCAGGCAGGCTACTGAACGTGTCGCTGCAGCAGCCCACGGCAGCCTCCTCCGAGCCGGCTCCGGACTCCGAGTCACCCCCGTCAGCTCCGAGAGAGGCCGGGCGCCCGCTTAAGCCCCCGCCGCCGGGCTGGTGCGATCCTTCGCTTGGGGGTCCATGCTGGTCGCTCCTCGCGGTGTCACGCCGCGCTGGACCCCCTCTCCTCCGGGTACTGAGAGGACGCGGATGCCGGCGGTGAAAAGGAGAGTCTAACTACTCCGGCGTGATAATAAATTAAAAAAAAAAACGTAACGCTGAGAGCGGCTGTGTGGGCTTTGACCGCTGACCGCCTTTATATACTGCAGCCGAGCACGGCAGCACGCGTAGCCGCCTGGACAGCAGAACGAACTGCACTCACGAGCCCCCTGACCAACTGGCAGTGAGCTACGTCAAGCTACGCACGCCAGGTAGGAAGTGGGAAAACTTGTCTTCAAAATAAAAGCCCCCAAACTTTTTTTAAACGAAACATTTTTATGTGACATTTGATATTTTAAAAAATAATATTATAATAATTCATTAAAAAATTAACCATCGTCTTTTTATGTCATAAAATAGTTATTTATACATAGAGCAGTAAGGTTTTTTGCTTGTTTGTTTTTTTTTACTATAGTTTTGTGCCCGCCTTTTTTTTTTAATTAGAGGTTTAAACTAGGTTTCCTTTCGCTTTCTTCTCCTACTTTTTTAATTTTGGACCAGTGTCCCCTTAAATAAGCCCGAAAATACCTAATAAGTACATTTTACAACAAATGACAAACACAAAAATATTCTGAATTTTTTTTTTTTTTTAAAAATGTGAGTTCTTGCACAAATTATAATTATGATTTAGAATCAATCCCTGCACTTATACTTTTTTACACATTAAGAAGCTCCATATTCCCATGCATTTTTTTACCACAAGTTAAAGGCAAATTTAAAATTTCAGATGACATAATTGTTTTTAAAGCTCAAAATCTTTAAAACTACTATATTATAACTAATATTAGTGATTTATTTACAGTTTCTTCTTTAACATCAAATCCATTGAAACGTTAAGTACATATTTGATATTAAATGGCTTCCACGAGGTTCCTCATAGCCACAACTAACCAATTAATTTAAAAAACAAAACATTTATTTCGAAATACTCACACGGAAGTTATGTGTTTTATTGTTTGCGATATGACACAGGTTTAAAAACTGCAAAAGCGCGAGCTAATGTGAGGGCGGTGACAGTAAACACGTTCAGTGTGTGCAGATCTTGGCTGACTCCGACATCTATCCATCCATCCGTCCTTTATCCATCCACATGGCTCATGGGGTGAGCAGCGTGGCATTGTGGGATACTCCCTCTCCTCCTGCTGCTCTCTTTTCTGCAGCATCATCAGTGAGAAAGTAGGCCAGAGCGTAAGCATACATGCATCAACACATTCAGACTGCTAGTATCTCATGCTCAGTCTAGTCACACACATACACACATTCCATGATGTCAACATGCTGCCCTTCCCTCTTCATCATGCTTCTTTGCTTCCTACACGTTGCTGTCAGTCTCCCTGTGAAACATCAGGCCACATCTGTCCCTTTTCACTCCACTGCACCGGACCATCAGGGAAATTACTGCTGAGTTTAAACAACCTTTTTTTCATGTGTGCATGAAAAAAAAAATCTGTCACTGTATATAAACCTGATCTCTCCGGTTCATACTGTTATAGTGTTCGCTTAGTGCATAATAGGCTGTCAACCTAAGGAAGAGACAAGAAGATGAAAGAGCAATGAACACTACACGAAAACTAATAGCACTATTAACCACAGGTGGCACGGACCAGTAATTGATATGCAAGCCACATGACTGTACAGCTAAACTAATGACTATAGGTAATAAGCTTCATTAACATTAGTCTAATCATATAAGAGTTACTAATTTTATCTACAATACTGCAGCCATACTGTCCAAAAAGCCTTACAAAAATTAAAAAGAACAAATAACTGCTTAATGGTAACCCAAAAAATAACCAGTGATGGGCACAAATGGGCAAACTGAATTATGCTGAAACTTAAACACACTAGTATTAGTTAAGATTTATATAAATCTTGGGTGATCATGGTTCAGGGGGTTGGGAGCTTAGCTTGTGACCAGAAGGTTGCCGATTCGATCCCCAGCTCTGTCTGTCTTGGTTGTTGTGTCCTTGGGCAATACACTTCAGAGGGGCCGATGGCGCGATATGGCAGCCTCGCTTCTGTCAGTCTGCCCCAGCTGTGGCTACAACTGTAGCTGCCTCCACCAGTGTGTGAATGAATAGTGGAATTGTAATTTAAAGCGCTTTATAAATCCAATCTTTTATATATAATTTTTGACCTGCCAAATTGCATTTAATAGCTATTTTATATTTTCTTTTAAAAAAAACAGCAACATATAAGCAATTGCTTTTCCCTGAACCCTTTCTGTCTGAAATATAACGGGGTTATTTTTTATTTAGTTGTTTATTTTATTTATCTATTAGTATTTTTCATTGTTTTTGGAAAATACTGCTTGTTTTGCTATGATCAGACAGAAATAAAATTAATGAAATGAATTCACTAGAGAAAATGTCAAAAAGAGTTCCACAGACTCTGTCATATTGGATAAAAGGTCTCCTGAACTTTGATACCAAGTACCAAAAGTACCAAGTTTGAGATCAGGTTGAAATCACTTCTAACCATTCACTTTATCGGATGAAACAGCGAGACTTGAGCGCCAGCTATCACGACTCAACCAGCCATTACTTGTTCAGTTAGTCTTTTACCCTAATACCCGGTTTCTGAGGTGGCCAGAAATCTCATTTCATGGAAGAATCTCTGTGTGAGCAGATTTTTTTAAACTTTATAATGTCTTTATAATGTCTACAATACCAGAGTGCAGACTAATAACAAAAGAAAATATCCCTCACAAATCCAGTATATATGTGTAAGACTTCTAGTTTTAAATACTCGTATCGAGACCTTTGAGCGGTGTTCTCGGTACCTCCAGCTCTTTGGCTGCAGATATGTCTTTCAAACAAAACCCTCAGTTGATAAATGAGAAACTACAAAAGTGGCTTGTTTACCGATCGAGTTCAGTCAGCAGTGAGTCTGTTTCTCTGGACTGTGTCTGTCTGATTTCCAGGGAAATCCTTAGAAATGAATGCTGCTGTGTGAAACGCATAAATCAGTGCTGCACTAAACTTTAAAGAAAACAGAAGAAGCTAAATCCTGCTAAATCCAGTCAGGACGGTCAGGTTTGTGGGATGTCTCGTTTTCAGCAACAGAAACTGTCAGTCTGCAGTTCTAGAGCCAAAAATTGCCTCCATCAAAACTATATCACAACACGAGTCAGCATATTCACATACTTTTTACCATTTTAACATGCATGACATCACTGTGATTCAGTAACTGTACATTTTGACCTGTGCACAAGCACCAATTACTGCATCTCCTCAAATGAGGTTCTCCTAAAGTGAGTCAATCCCCAATCTCCTCCATAAAAACAGTTCAGTGGGTGAGTTTGATTGGCATGTGTCATGGGCAGCTGTAGCATAATGGTGGTGTTGGTGCTTGTTACTAAGCATCAATTATTATGTAGGTCTGTCTGCCTGTTGCAAACGTACAGTTTATGAATGAAGCTTGCTAACAAAGTTCGCAGGATTTAGCCAATAACTTAGCATTCCATGCTCTCCACCTTGAGTTCAAAATATTTACACTGGAACTAATAAAGTGCTAGTTTCAAATTCAATGAGTGATGTCACAGTAGCTATTTCCATTTTGCATACAGTCTATAGCACTGACTCAATTGATTCTGTGAGCGTCATTCATCTAGTTACACAAACTTTATACATGACTCTGGTGCCTGGATGCATAATGGAAGAGCCTGGGACTGATCCACTAACATCTCCATACCTGTACCTTCTGAAACCATGCTGCTTAAAATGAATGGCCTGATCAGACAGGTGATGACAATAACAAACAAAACCTCCATCCATCCATTTTCTTCCACTTATCCAGGGCCGGGTCGCGGGGGCAGTAGCCCAAGCAGAGAGGCCCAGACCTCCCTCTCCCCAGCCACCTCCTCCAGTTTATCCGGGGGAACACCAAGGCGTTCCCAGGCCAGCCGAGAGATATAATCTCTCCAGTGTGTCCTGGGTCTACCCCGGGGCCTCCTCCCGGTGGGACATGCCCGGAAAACCTCACCCAGGAAGCGCCCAGGAGGCATCCTTATCAAATGCCCGAACCACCTCAACTGGCTCCTTTCGATGTGGAGGAGCAGCGGCTCTACTCTGAGCCCCTCCCGAATGGCTGAACTTCTCACCCTATCTCTAAGGGAGAGGCCAGCCACCCTTCGGAGGAAGCTCATTTCTGCCGCTTGTATCCGCGATCTCGTTCTTTCAGTCACTACCCACAGCTCGTGACCATAGGTAAGGGTAGGGGCGTAGATCGACTGGTAAATTGAGAGCTTCCTTTTTACACTCAGCTCTCTCTTCACCACAACAGACCAGTACAGCGTCCGCATCACTGCAGCTGCTGCACCAATCCGTCTGTCGATCTCCCGCTCCCTTCTCCCATCACTTGTGAACAAGACCCCGAGATACTTAAACTCCTCCACTTGGGGCAGCGTCTCGTCCCTGACCCAGAATGGGCACTCCACCCTTTTCCGGCTGAGGACCATGGCCTCACATTTGGAGGTGCTGATTCTCATTCCCAACGCCCCACCGTCGGGCACAGCCCGAAAAAGGGACATGGGCCCATTTTCCTGCAGGCCCAGCACCCACAGGAGGCACCGTAGGGGTCGGGTGCATCGTGAGTCGGGTGGCAGCCAAGAGCGGAGGTCCTGGCAGACCGATTCCCGGCTACCAAGACAAGTCAAAAAAAACCTTCAAAGTAAAATGAGAATTAACCGAGGGAGTCGTGATACAGATGCATGTTCCTAATACCTTACAGGAAGTAAGAAACAGTAAATGGTCTAGCACCTTTCTGCTTCAAGTTTCATTTCCACACAGTGCTTTTATCCATGCTTGAGTGGTTTCTAACAGTCATACAGATTCGTCACCTAGCAGAAGGATGTCTCAGTACATGGGCTGAGGAGTCAGGAATCGAGGAACCTTCTAATTTGTTGATGATAACTCTACCACCTGAGCCACAGCCACTTGTGAGACAAGGAGGTAAGTATGAGACAAGTAAAGATGAGAGAGAGGGAAACACTGAAGGAACTGAACACACAAGAAATAAACTCAAATAGAAACTGAAGTTAAATAAAGGCCAAAGAAATGAGCATTAGAATAGAAAACCACCCAAACAGGCATCTAAAACTCCATAAATTTAATAATAAAAAGCAGAACTTAAAGAAACATGACCAAAGGTATCAATAAATGCTG